TTTTATTTTTTTAAATTATAATTTTTAAAATTTTATTTGTTGAAATTTTATATTTTTAAATTTTAAAAATTTTATTTAAATGAAATTTTATTCACACGTATGTTTTCCATATTTTGAATGTTTTCAAAATTTTAACTCAAAACACCCAAAATGTAAAAAATACGTTTTGAGTTTTATAATATAAATTTATCATTATTTTTGAAAATGTACTTTCAGAAATATTAGAAGAAATGCATTTTCAATATTTTGCACAACTGAAAACGTCTTGAAAAGAGCGAACTAGACGTGCCCTGACGTGCCCTCTATTTTAAAAATCATTATCAACTACACATTTTTCAATAAAATAATTTTACACGTAAATCAAAAATATTCATTTTTTTAACTACACATTTTTTAAACGAACACTATTTCAAAATACATTTTTTTCCAAAATTGGGCTCAAATAAGGGCTAAGGTTTCATTCACTAGAGGTCACCCAATTTATACTTTTTTCCGTGTTGGTCATCCAACTTATATTATTTAAATTTTATCGTTCAATGTACACTAGATATTTCAATTTGACAACCGCACGTGTAATTGTTATAAAAACTATAGTAAGTCTTGTGTGACTAACGAGAAATGACCTAGCCTTGTCTGATAATAAGCTCTCGTGTACAATTGATTTTTTTAGAAATAATTTTACGAAACATTGTTTTAGTTTAAGAATGTATGGTTGAAAAGTAAAAAAATAAAATACAGAGAAATGTGAAAAATAATTTATTTGTATTTTAATATGTATTTGTATAAAACCCGCAAGCGTACGAGATCGTTGTACAAGTAATAAGATTTGTGAGTTAAGAATATCGTTCGCACGAGGAATAAGATCTAATTTGTAGTTCAATAGCTACTATTAAATTCGAAGTGTGGTAACATAAAAAAAAAAGTGAGTTGTATGTAATCTATATTAATCATAAACTAACAAAACAAATAAAGTGTTTATCTAATATGTAAATGTTTGTATTGAAATCGTGAATCCCCCTATTGCCATTTATTTCAATTCTTAATTCGTAATCTAATAAATTCATGCACTCAAGACAATCGATAATCCACTTTTATTCAATATTATTTT